ATGATGATCCTAGATGTCTGTGGACTTTGGGAGCTCGTAGAAGGAAAGTTGAAGGCACCTGATGCAGCAGCTGATCCAGTTGCATGTGCAGACTGGCACTACAAGGATAAAGAAGCAAGGGCTCAAATCACACTTACTCTAAAGGATGACCCACTTAGTGGTGTTCTGCATGCCATGACAGCAGCAGAAGTCTGGAAAAAGCTATGTGAGTGCTATGAAGGCAAAGGGAAACAAATGATAGCCTACCTTATAGGTGAACTATTTCATGGTATCCTAGCAGATGATGTCTCGATGGAGACGCAGCTTAATGCCATGTGGCAGAAGGCAACAATCCTAAAGTCTCTGGGACAGCCCCTTGAAGACTCTCTTGTTGCCATAGCCATGGTCATCTCCCTTCCAACTTCATACTCAACCCTTTGCACTATACTCATGTCGTCCAATGAGAAACTAACTCCAGACTCTGTCATTTCCCAAGTCTTGATAGAAGAAAAGTCTCACTGCACCTCTTTGGCACAAACTGCCCTTGTAACAAAGATGCCTAACAAAAAGGGAAAGAGGAATGACAAGAAAAAGGCTTGTGGCTATTGCAAGAAGATGAACCATGTCGAAGATGACTGCTACAAGAAGAAGGCTGATGAGGCAGCCAAGTCCCCATCACAGGCTGAAAAGGATAAGCCTAAGGAGGACAAACTTGTTGCTAAAGTCACATGCATCTCACCTGTTGAAGACAGTGCCCTACAGCTCTTCATGGCCACTGACAATGGCAAGAATCTACACATGCACTGCGTCATTGACTCCGGTGCCTCTGTGAATATGTGCTGTCAGCAGAAATGGTTCACTTTGCTAAAGATGCTCTCACCCCCACAGCCTGTAGTCGTTGGAAATGGGAGCACAATTCCTGCTACTGCCATTGGACAGATTGAACTTTGTATGGATCTTCCAAATGGGAAGACCAGTAGAATCCTACTACAGAAGGTCTATTTTGTTCCAGATCTCAGCGCAAACCTCCTCTTGGTGGCATACCTTGCCACTAGAAATGTCCAGGTCACCTTCACAGGTGGAACATGCTCAATCACTGATGGTACAGACACTGTAGGTGTGGGCCATCGTCAGGGCTCACTCTACATCCTTGCAGCAAGGACTCACTCTCCAAGTCATGGAGCACTTGTCGTACAAGGACCATCTCCACTACTTGACCCTACCCTTACTTTCCCAGCTCTCACAGCTGCAGCACCAAAGTCTGTAGCCACACTTGACTTGTGGCATCGATGACTTGGGCATGCAAGTACAAAATCTGTGCTTAAACTGGTTAAAGCGGGAATGGTTGAAGGCATGGAGCTTACTGGCACTGAGCACTCAAACTCTGTATGCCAACCTTGCCTTGAAGGGAAGCAACACCGTAAGGTGATACCCATCAGGTCAAACATTGAAAGCCCAACAGTACTCTACTGCACATACTCTGATGTATGTGGCCCCATGGAGACTACAGCCCGAACTGGACACTGCTACTTCGTAACCTTCATTGATGCTTGCTCACACCACCTTGTGGTTAAACTAATAAAATCCAAGGACGAAGTCTACCCCTCAGTGAAAGACTACCTCGCTTGAGCTGAGGTCGAGACTGGCGAAAAAGCAAATTATTTTCGGAGTGACGGAGGTGGGGAGTATGGCTCAGATGAGTTCAAGGCCTACCTCAAGTCAAAAGGGGTCCACCATGAGAAGATGAATGCCTATACCCCACAGGAGAATGGCATTGCTGAGCAGATGAACCGCACACTTGTTGAAAGTGCGCAGGCAATGCTAAAAGATGCTGGACTGCCAAATAAATATTGGGGAGATGCTATCCAGTATGCAGCCTACCTAATCAACTGATCACCAACCTGTGCTATCTCCAAGGATGTCACACCATATGAAGCCTTTACAGGGATTAAGCCATTGCTGGCCCATATCCAAACCTTTGGCTGCACCGCACACATACATATACCTGAGGAAAAAAGAAAGAAGCTGGATGCAAAGTCCTTAGAATGCATTCATCTGGGCTTTGCAGAGAACAAGAAAGCATACCTATGCTTACACCAGCCCACTGGTCATGTCTTTGAATCCTGGGATGTAGTATTTGATGAGGGAAGCACAGCAGCGGGCCTAGATCGCGTCTGGATAGAAGAAGATCCTGCAGGCATGGTTAGTAAACCAGCAGACATAAGAGGGAATGCCCAAAAGGGCAATATGTTGCACCTGGATACCATCAGGGCTTCAGGCATGGAAGGCTGTGCTCACATGGAGTCTGATGATGGGGATCTTGAGTCTAGTGAGGGAGAGAGTGAAGATGTTGTCCATGAGGTCGAAATCAAGTCAAACGACACACCTGATAACTCAGGATCAAAGGTAGATCATTCCCCACAGCACTCAGAGGGTAACATGCCAGGCAGCAGCCAGAGTCCTAAAAAAGCGCTTGAAATGGCCTCAAAACCATCAGTAAAGCAAGCTAGGATGACACCAAAACCTACCATGCATAAAGTGACACCCCTGCAGCCCTATCCAACTCCAATTCTGCCTCGAGAGACCCACAGGTCCACCAGAACACAAAAAGCGCCACCTAGAGATGATGATTATTGCTTTTTCATCAATTCCTATGACAGGACAACCTTACCTAGTCAACAGCTTGTGGCGCCAGAGGGTTCAGGTGCAGAGAGTGAGGGTGGAAGCCCCGTCGACAAAGTCGCTCGAGAGCGAGAGCATGTGTGTGGCAACAGCGAGGCTGAGGTGGCTGAGATGAATGAGGAAATGGCTTACAAAGCATCCACAACACATGACAATGAACCTCACTCATTCAACGATGCAATGTGACACACCAATGCAGATCAGTGGTACGCTGCGATGATTGATGAATTACAGACCTTTAAGTCCATCAGACTGTATGAGGAAGTTGCCCTGCCCCCTGGCCATAAACTGATTGACTCAAAATGGGTCTACAAGATCAAGCGAGGGTCGACTGGTGAAATTGAGAGGTACAAGGCTTGTTTGGTAGCCAAAGGCTTTACACAGGTACATGGGATCAACTACACAGAGACATTTGCACCTGTCACCAAGTTCACAACCATCTGAATACTCCTGGCACTTGCCACTAAGTATAATCTCGAAATTCATCAGATGGATGTTAAATCCGCATTCCTAAATGGACTATTAGATGAAGAAATATACCTTCGCCCCCCTCCAGGCTTTCCTCCTGACAGCAACAAAGTCTGGTGGCTGCTATGAGCGCTCTATGGCCTTAAACAAGCCCCCAAGTCGTGGTACTCTCACCTTTGGACTGTTTTCAAATCCCTGGGTTTCACTTGAAGCCAGGCCGACCATAGCCTCTTCTTTAAAGTCAAGAATGGCATACTCATTGTTGTTGCTGTCCACATAGATGACAAGCTAATACTCTCAAAGTGCTGCACAACCATTGAGCGTGTCAAGGCTCAGCTCTCACAGGAGTATGAGATGAAAGATCTGGGGGAGGCATGTTGGATTTTAGGAATGGAGATACTTTGCAACTGTGATAAAGGTATCATACAGCTCTCACAGAAGAGATATGTTGAGAGTATTCTTGAGCACTTTGGAATGAGTGAGGGGTGAGCTGTCGCGACCCCCATTGAGCCTAACCTAAAGCTCAAAAAACTAGAAATTCCAGAGGCCGACACCAAGTCATACCAGGGTGCTCTTGGAGCCCTCATGTATGCAATGCTAGCAACAAGGCCCAACCTTGCCTTTACTGTAGGCATGTTGAGCCATCATGCTGCATGCCCTGGGCATGAACACTCTACTGCGCTAAAGCGCATTTTTTGCTATCTGCGATGCACCCCCGATGTCCACCTTACCTATAAGCGAGACTCAAATGCATGTGCGATTGGGTATGTAGATGCAGATTGGGCAGTGGATATCAATGACCGCTGCTCTGTTACTGGCTATACGTTCATCCTTTCTGGTGGAGCTGTTAGCTGGTCATTGAAAAAGCAATCATCTGTTGCTCTCTCAAGTACAGAAGCCGAGTACATGGCCACATGCACTGCCATGAAGGAAGCTATCTGGATTCGTACCCTAGTCCTTGAACTTGAGACTGTGTCATCACACGAACCCACTCCCCTCCTCATCAACAATCAATCTGCTATCTCACTGGCTTGAAATGCAATGTTCCACAACTGCATGAAACATATTGTGATCCATCATCACTTCATACGAGAGAAGGTGGATTCTGGAGAAGTAGTTGTCAACTATGTGTCTACCAATGACCAGGTGGCTGATGTGCTGACTAAGGGTGTGTCTAGGGAGAAGCATGTTTGTTTCTCTGAAGCTATGGGTATTGTTTTCTTTTAATTCCTTCTTGACTATACTCACTGAAGGGGTGTGTTGGAGTTTATCACCTTTACCTTAGTTGTGGTTCACCGAGCACAGCATTATGTAATTCAAAAGCGGACACTTAGCAGTTTATTTTTTCCTTACTGCACCTCAGCTTCAACCAACTTGAAGTCTGAGTATATTCCTCTCCATAGACTTGACAATCCTGCAGCACATCATCCTCCAAAACAAGTCACCTTAGCATCTGTGGTACTGAGTATCTTGTTACAGTGCAATCATGGCCAGGCAACAACAGTACAAGATTTGTTGGTGCTGTGTTCACAGTTGCTGCAGGGGCCACTTGTGAGATCCTCTGATGAATGTATCCATCTCAGGTGTTCTGTTGAAACTGTCTACTCATGCTTGCCATCAACATGATGAAGAACTGTTGCAGCAACATCGCCAATCCATGGAAAATGAGGGTGTGGAAAATAGGATTTTATTGGCATCCCTTAAAATGCTGCAGTTAGATGCTACTGTAGTGTCCAGGACCAACTCATTGACCATCCTTGATGCTGCTTCTATGGATGTTGAATGTGGTTCATCCTCCAGCAGTACATTTCATTAAATGAGCTTTGATTTATCTAAATCCAGGTGGTCCATCTGTTGATCATTCTATCATCATGAATACCCTCCAAGCACCTCAGCAGGTCACATCTAGGCCTGACTCATTGACTGTCCCCGGTGTTTCCATCAACATTAATCTGTCCATTGATCGTCCCACCAACACAAATATCCTCTCAATGTCCATGCTCATGTGTCATTGTGATAATTCTCCTATGGATGTTGAACATAGGTCATCTTCCAGCAGTAGGTTTAATTAAATGAGCATTGATATATCTAGATACAGGTGGTCTGTCTGTTGATTCAACTGTCCTTCATGCTCCTGTCAATGTCAATCTGTCCATTGATTGTCCTGCCAATGCAAATACCATCTTGAGGTCCACACTCACACATTATAGTGATAACACTCCTATGGATGTTGAACACAGGTCATCTTCCAGCAGTAGGTTTAATTATATGAGCATTGATTTATCTAGATACAGGTGGTCCATCTGTCGAATTGACTGTCCTTAATGCTCCTGTCAGCATTAATCTGTCCGTTGGTCATCCCACTGATGCAAATACCATCTCAAGGTCTGTGCTCATGCATTATCGCAATAGTGCTCCTATGGATATTGAACATAGGTCATCTGCCAGCAGTAGGTTTAATTAAATGAGCATTGATTTATCTAGATACAGGTGGTCTGTCCATCAATTCAACTGTGCTTAATGCTCCTGTCAACATTAATCTGTCCATTGATCATCCCACCAATGCAAATACCCTCTTGAGGTCTGCACTTGTGCATTATTGTGAATTGTTCCATGGACATCAGATCGGTGCAAGCCACCTTCTCACTCAAACATTAGTATTCAAAAGCCAGCCAAAGGCTGTGAATGATCCACCCCCTGCTCTCCATTGGTGGCACTGTTCAGCTTTTCTTATGCATCAGGAGGCCATCATGAGCCTGATCAGGTTAGTAGATGGTGTGTACCCTCAAGACAGCATGGACCTGGATGTTCAAGAATCACAGAGGTGCCTTTCCCAGGAGCTGGACTCTTATTGCAAGTGCTTGGATGCAATAGTTGATGCCCAATGGGCAAAGCTGAAGGGAGAGCAGGGCTTGCAGTCATTTTCTGGGAGTCTGAACTTGATGTCTGACTTAAGTTACTCCGCTGGTTAGTGCATTTCATCACTTGGGATGAAATCATATAATGAATATCCAACAGACCTGCACATTGGCTTCCTTGATCATCTCAAAACTGTATCACCACCTGTGTTGGCCTGTATCACTGTTGTTGTCACACTTCACCTTCTGTCAAATATGCCACAAAATGCATCTAATTTCCTGTTGGATGCAGTTCAATTAATTGTGTTATCTGCCTGTGAATGGGCCATGACATCCCTTGGGGGAGACATCCCACTCCCACTGTTTTGTGACTCCTTGCAATTCCAGAGTTGGCCTTGGGACCTTTGGTCAGCTATCCATACCCTCAATTTAGACCCAGAGCTCAATATCTATGCTTGTTGCCCCAGATGCTGTGCACTATACTTGTACAAGTACCAGGCTCAGACCCTTGATATCCCAGAGCAGTGCACTGCCAGGTAGACAACTGGAAGCCCAATCTGCAACACACCACTTTTGTATTGTTCAAGTTCTACAGGAGATTCTGTGCCACACCAGACATTCAATTATCAGCCACTCAAAAGCTGGCTTGCCCATCTGCTTTCATGACCAGGCATTGAACAGTCCATGGAAACCACCACAGCTGGCTGTCCTGATTCATTCATCTCCTGACTGGTGTGCCCTTGGAAACATGGACCTGTCTGTGATGTTTGGGATGGTGAGGCATTCTGATCCTTTAAGGGTCCTGATGGAAAGACCTGGTTAGATGCTGTCTCTGGGGAAGCTTGACTTGTGTTTAGCCTATTCATTGACTGGTTCAATCCCTATGGAAATCGAATTTCTGGAAAGGCCAAATCTGTTGGTGCCATCTACATGGTTTGCATGAATTTACCCATCCATCTTTGTTACCTCCCAGAGAATGTCTACCTTGTGGGGATCATACCAGGTCCCAAAGCCCCTCCATTACATCATCTTAATCATTTCCTTGGCCCTCTTGTTGATGAACTCCTGCAGTTTTGGCACTCTGGGATCTGGTTTACCAGGACTGCTGACTATGCCATGGGACACTTGGTTCATGCAGCTGTCATTCCCCTTGTATGTGATCTGCCAGCACTTGCAAAAGCAGCTGGATTTGCCAGTTATAGCAGTTCTGAGGGTTGGTGTCCCTTCTGCTGGATATCCAAGGATGACTTGGCAAACTTTAACACTGGGTCCTGGAAACAATGAACCTGGGAGGAACATCTAACACATGTTCTGCAATGGCTCCATGGGCAAGGGGGAGTTCAAAGACCATTGTATTGGGTCAAGAAATTCTAAAAGAAGTATGGGCTGACATGGCAACTACCACTCTGCCATCATGGATGACAAGGCCTCCTTGCAACTTGGGTAGTCCTGGGCATGGGGAACTCAGAGCAGATCAGTGGAGAAGTGCATGCCTTGTTCATCTTGTTATCACCCTTGTCTGCCTCTGGGGCCATTTTCATGTGGGAAGTCAGGAGAAATCCATGCTGGACAACTACATTGCACTTGTCATTGCTGTCTGGTGGGCTACTAGGAGGTCAACATCTGATGACCATGTGGAAATTGTTAACTCCTACCTTCATTACTACCTCACATCACTGGTGAAGTTGTATACAACAGAAGCACTCCAGCCTTCCCATCATTTATCACTTCACCTATCTCAGTGCATCCAGCTCTTTGGACCTGTACATGGATGGTGGTCTTTTCCTTTTGAACATTTCAATGGTATTATTCAACAGTACCACACAAATAATAAAATTGGTAAGTCCTGGTTGCTTTAGAATTACTATTTAACTAAATGAAATCTACCAGGTGAACTAGAGTTGACATTCATGAAAGCCTTTTGCCAAGGTGGGAATCTTCATGCACTGCTTCAACACCAGTCAGGGTTCCCTCAGGTATTGGATGCACTGAAGCCACTGATCCATAAACATTATGGTGATACTGTGTTCAACAGTACACTCACCAGTGATCTAGCAACCTTGGCCAAACCTGCAAATCCATTAGTTCCAGAAACTGGAGGATTGGACCATCCCAAGACCCTTCCCAATGACATCTATGAACTCCTGCTTGCCTGACTCAATTGTGATGCCACTGCACTGCCCTTCTTATCCTATCAAACAAGTGTAACCAAGCCAGGTCATGTACTGGATCCCTCTGTCAATTACTGCAAGGAAATTGAACTCCATGGGGTCAAGTTTGTGGCATCAGTAAAGCAGAGAAAAAGCAGCTCCATTGTCCTTTTTGAAGTGCCTGGTTGTGACAAACCAAAGGCTGGTCAAATTACTGGGCTCTTCTATCATTCTCACATCAACCAAGGGACCTATGTTACAGAGTGCTTTGCAGAAGTCCTCCAGTTTTTGGATCTTTCACCTCTGGAATATAGTCATGACCCATACCATCAATACCCACTCCTGGAAGTGCAGTTATACCGCACCCAGACCTGTGTTGGGGTCATCAAGGCATCAGACATTATCTGTCATGCTGCAGTCACACCTTTCAAGTCTCCATAAGTGCAGGAGGGTGCATATCAAGTTGTTCTATCACTTAACAGGGTGAGTTTGCTTCTCACTTACTGCAGAACATTATAATTTCTGATGTATTGGTAGGGTTAGTAATTGAAGAAAGCACCTGTACATACAGTACTGTACACACAAATTCATGTCAATGATATGGTCTCATTGAACAGGAGCTGGTTCATCCTGTGACAATTGACAGTTTCCACTCAAAAAGCCATGCCAGTCAATAGACATCATGTTAACAGTTCAAGGCTTACAATCCACCAGTCTCCATAAGGTTCATACAACCTGTGCACTTCACAGGCACCCCATGTCCTCTATGGAAAACCCTGGCTCCTGCAGTACCTAATTGTCATGCTCCATTCAGCCATCCCATGGATGAAACAGGGTCCATCTGACATACCTCCACCATATGCTTGGACAGCCAGGTAGGCAGCCATTGCACTGGCAATACACTTGCCATTATAAGTCCTTCCACCATCAGCAACCAAGAAACAGCTTGGGGATGCAAGGTTGCACCTTGGATGATGATACCATGGATGAAAATGACTGGTTGGATGTCAGATAACTGCTGGAGATGCAGGAGCATGTGAGATAGTGTGAAACTGGGGCACATGATCATCAGGGATGCCAAGTTGTTCTGACATTTTGGTGGGATGATGGTCACAGAAAGATGAAGCTAGATCACAGACATTGAATAGTGCAGTAATGATAGATATGAATTGTCCAACTGATGATGAACAATGCCCACTACATGAGAATCAATGGTGGGTTGTGCCTCAGGCAATACCATAGATGAAAATGAGTGGTTAGATGTCAGAGCAGGAGTTCCTTGGGGTAGAGAGGCAGACATTGGGGGAATAACCACCAGAGATGCAGGAGTGTGTGAGATGGCATGAAACTAGGGCACATGATCATAAGGGGCACCAAGTTGTTCTTGCATTTTGGTGGGTGTAATGGGATGACAGTTGCAGATGGGTGAAACTAGATCACAGACATTGAATAGTGCAGTAATGATAGATATGAATTGTCTGACTGATGACAAACCATGCCCACTATGCAAGAATTGACAGTTACCATCAATCAAACTGCCCACTCAGGGAACAATGAGGACTTGAAATGATTTGTGTCCACAAGCACTGCTTTGGGAACAATGGTCACAGTGAGTAGTGCACCATCATTTGTCAAGCATGCCAGCCCCATTCACATCACATATGGAGCAAGGATCCTTTCCAAGATATCGAGAGTCTGTGAGAAGATGACTCTGGATGGTCATATCACAAGGAAGGAGTAGCTGAGGAGCAAGAGGACAGGAATGAAAAGGAACAGGACAGGGACCAGATGGGAGGAGTCAACATGAGTGGGTTAGAAGAGGTGGGGGAAGGGTATACTAATGATCAGGAGGAAGTTGACCTCACTTCATTCACTTTTGATGGATCATCGGTGGCTGTGATTCATATGGTGACTTGCTCAGGACAAGGAAGTGGCAATCACAGAGGATCAGGCTGGACCCCCCCATTGTAACCATTCATAAGCCGCCCTTGTTGACAACATCTATGGCCCCCCAATCAGTGCTGAAGAGTACAAGCATTACCCCCATATCCATGATGAAAGACCTGAACCACAATAAGTTCTGCACACCAGTGCAGAAGATCAGACATTGGTGGTCTGTAAGCTTCTCTGATGGGAAACAAGATGGAGCCATCAGAGGTCTCAGAGCCAAGCCACATGAGAGCGACAATGACATTGGGACAATTATCATGACAACCACAACATGACTTGATCCTAGTGAATCTTCATCTGGCTGCTCACTTTCTGCTAGGATGAAATGACTGGCAGAAATGATGCATAAGCTCAAGATTACAGGTAAGCCATTGTTTTCTGCAGCTAAGTCAACATGATGTTCACCAAGGAACATGTCAGAGCAGGAGTTCCTTGGAGTAGAGAGGTGGACCCTGGGGGAAATCTCACTGGAGATGTAGGAGTGTGTGAGATGGCACAAAACTGGGGCATGTGATCATCAGGGGCATCAGAGCAGATTTTTGGCTTTGAATTGCCCATCAGTCTGTCATCTCCAGACAGAGGTATAAACTCTAGACATCAGAGGCCAGAGGATGAGAACAAAGCAACCACTGCTGAGACAATGCCAATGCTTCCTAACTTTGTCTACCAGAGTCCATTGGAAGGTTGGTACTGACAATGGTGACATGAATTGACCATTGGCTTGAATTTTAAATATGTTAGGTCTTGCTCTCATCCCTCATCCTCCTGGACTGATGTCAAAGCCAGGCCTAGGTGGGTGATCTCTGAGGGAAACATTGGGCTGGTCTGATAGTACCTACAACAAAGTCCTGGTTGAGATCATGTTTACACTTTTCTGGTAACATGGTAACACCAACTGAGATTCCATCATTTAGGATGATGTACATGTGCTTTGCAAGCAGTTTTTTGACCTGACAAAACCATACAGTCAGCAGGATCCTGAGGCTATAGTGAGATATTCATTGGCAGTGGGTCACACAAGCTGTTTAGTTCGCTTCCATGATGCTAACACCTTGCATGGAAGGTTCATGAAAAGTTTCCTGAAATGGTGCATTATGTCTCCCTCTGGCCCACAGAATCCTTCACCACCATGTATCTCAAGAACATGGCATTTGAAATGCACAGGAAAGTTTTTTCAGGGAAAGGAGAGCGCCCTTCATCACAGGTCAATGAGTAGATGTGACACTTTCTTCATATGTACAAAATGTGCTCTGCCTCTATGGGAACATCAATCTGATCCTGCATGCATCACAGGAATTCTAGTAGAAGCTTGCACAGTTTGATTGTCAGACCCATATGAGCTGTTACAGTAATGAGGTTTAAAGAATGTGAGACATGTTGAAGAAATGAATGTATAACAAATGTGCCATTCACCAAGAAATGCCAAGGGTGAGAGAAAGCAGATTTGGGTGTCAGAGCAACAAGCATGATGTCCTGTGCTGACTTGAGCATGAAATCAGCAGGCAGGACAAAACCTTCATATGTCATCACTGACTGTAATGGGGGTTAAAGACTATTTGCAAAGTCATCAGAGATAGTGATGTGGGAATGATGGTGTATGCACAAGAACGAGTGCCCAAGTGCCTTTCAAAGCAAGAACTAGAATGAATGTGATCACAATGATCTTAATAGTCCCTGGATGATCTGCTTTGTCCAAGTTGAAAAGCTACATCCCTGCCATGAAATACAGTACTCTATGGCTGCAAAATGACCCACCTGTCCAAAAGCATGTTTGATGTCCATGTCTGTTTTTGCATTCCAGAGTTTGATGGTCATGCATGTGCCATGTCCAGTGGCAGATGTTGCTAAGAAATTGTAATTCCTGCCCTGGAAACTACACAGCACCTGTACCATGACACCTACAGAATAAGCAGTTGCTATGAGGTATGTTAGAGGATTGGATGTACTTCTGTGATGAAGAGTTTGGACTTGTGTTCCTGTTCTTGTGCACCACACCCATACCTTACCATCAGTAGCTCCACTGACCACCTCTCGACCACAATCAACAAAATCGATAGCACATGGATAATTTCCATTAGAAGAGTCACATGGGAATGGAAATGATAAGGATATGACAGAGTGGCCCACAGGATACAGGTCCAGGCCAGTCATTAGATTGGATATCAAGATGTGTGTCTTGTCTGGCAATAGTGCCACACTCCTCTGTAACCTTGATTGTCAGTTTGATTCCAGATGAATAAAATGAGGACTAACATATGCTGATGCATGTGAGCAGGACAGATTTGCCAAAGCAATTGTGATTTCTGGATGTCCCAGCAGCTTGATGGAATATTAGAGGACACTAACAGTGAGATATTCTGATGACATACATCACTCCATGATTTAGGTAGGCCACAACAACTTGATTCTTGCCTTTGAGGAAGTGTGCAGATCTTGGCTGGATACATATGTCTGCTTCTGTTTGATGTTCATCAAGCTCTTGTGGTGCAGGAAGGAGGATTACTGTCATATATATGTCTATCATTCAGAAAAGAGCTGTTACCAGTCAGTCCTTGTGACAACTGTAAGTCTACCTTTGTTCAGCTCTCATGCAATGTGGACTTTGCAGCCTACTCCTATTGTGAGGTCCCCAGAAGAAGGGTTCATGTCTAGGCAATGAACAGGCGCCATGATCCCCTTCTGGATGTCTTGTGTGTTGTCCAGGTTCTGGGTCACCATGATTCAGTACAAGAAGTACACTTCCATTGAAAGGGTAAAAAGATATCTGCTCACATTAGGTGCTGGAACAAGTGCCAATTTTCCATCTTCACACCCAAAGATGAGTCTCGAAGAACGGGAAGAATGGACATCCCACTGCAGGCAAAGTACTGGACTTTGAAGGGATGCCCTCTGTGTCATTGCTCTTGTGTGGACATCCCAAATAATGAGCTGTAAATCTTCGCTGCCACTGGCAAGATACTTGCCACACAGAGAAAAGGAGAGGCACATAACAGAGTCAGTGTGTCCATCAGCCAGAGCCCTGGCTGGTTGGTATGCATTAGTAGTTGAGTTGCTGGTCATGGTCATGAATAAAAGAATATCAAAGAATGCAAGTGTCAAAACATGGCATCCATTAAGCACCATTCAATGCTTTGTCTCTCTTTGAGGTTATGAATCCTTATGGGTGACATTTGAAGCCCAAATCTCGAGTTCAAAATACAACTCATTGACAGTTATATTCTGAAATTTCTATCAAGGAGAATTGGTAAATGGGTACACATTTGTCTCATCTGTCTTCAGTAATCTACACTCCTCTGCACAGAGAGAGTCACACCAACCCCTATTGTAACAATCGATGGGTAATCCCATTGGCACTTTGGTGTTTGTGCTCATTTTTGGGGGATTGGGGTGGATATGGAATTGTAGTGCATTACCCTGCAATCTAATATGACCTGCCTTCACTATTCGGTGGGCAGTACAGGAATCGTTGATTTACTGATACAGAGTGGCCAAAGTGGCACTTCTCCAGGGTGGAGTCGATACAACATAAGTGCACTGTTCAAGAGGCCCTTCTCCTTTGTCTGAGCTGATACCTTTTATCCCAATGTGTTTGAGTAGTGGGGCATGCCTATGTATGCTGGCATCATCTTTTGCCATCGCAATATGTGCCTGAAACAACTGTGGTATAGGTGAAATGGGGCCTTAGCCAGAGTCAGTGGCATAGATAAAGTGAACCTGCCTGTCGCTTTCAGGTGGTACTGGCTGTGGTGACTAGACACCTTTGTTTCTTGGAATATCCACCCTGGAGTTCATCATAGATTTTCTGAAGATGCTTCAATTTCCCATTTAGTGTGAATATGACATAGTCCATATTCAAGAACTTTTCTGGAATGGGGGGGTAGTTGTACCATTTGTGGTTGACAACTTTATCAATAAAATCACCAGCTGCAACAGCCTTGGCACAGTTGTTAAAGGTGGATGTCTGCTTTCCAATAAGATCAAAATGGAATTCTCAGAGGTTATTTTGATGCAACCAGGCAGCTTCTCATCGAAGGCTCTAATTTCATCTCATGTGGGGGGGGGTACTGTGTCCAGAAGTTATGATGTTGATTCAATTTTGAGGAGGATTTGTAAGTGCTTGTGAAGGTGTTGCTGGACATGGGAATCAGTTACTGAAATCAAGATGAAGCAGATGGAGCTCCGACCCAAAAGATTACTCTGAGGGGATCCTTTGCAAAGGGATCAAATCTGGTGCTTCCCTCATCATCCAATGACTCATCATTGGCTTTACTATCATGTATGTTAGTGCCAGGTGACTTCCATTTATGGTGCTTGGTGTTCATTGCAACATTTTGATGTACAATTACTGGTCTACTAACTGCTTCATGAATGGCAGTGAATTCCACTCTAAGGTTTTCTTTGAGGGTCTTAAATGCATGAGAAACAACACTGAGAAAGGGCCCATTTTGATCAAGTTTGTCCAATGCTGGCTGCCTCAAAGAAGGGTGAATGCCTTCTATGGATGTCAACCCTGGAGCAGAACCAAAATGCCCATGAATGGAACACTGTGAGGAAAATGGCACCAGGTTACAGTGACTGGAGTGGCTGCTCATGGAACTTGCAGGCACAGCTGTCAGCCCCGGTATGGGACCAGATTGTCCATGAGTGGAACTCTGTGAGGGCAAGGGCTGCAGGTGATTGGAGTGTTTGCTCACAGAATTTGCAGTTTGAATTCCTGTAGGATGTTAGAGGTTGACAAAACTGTCATAAACAGTGGGAACAGATACCTCACACAGGTGTCAGCCCTGATACAGAGCTAGATTGATTGTGGACAGAACTCTGCAAGGGCAATGGTGGTGGATGACTGGAGTGTCCACTTATGGAACTTGTAGCTTGAATTCCTGTAAGACATTAGAGGTAAACAAAAGTGACACAAACGGTAGCAACGGATACCTTGCACAGCTGTCAGCCCTGGTACGGGGCAGGACTGACCATGAACAGAACTCTGTGATGGAAATGGCAGCAGATGACTGGAGTGTCTGCTCACAGAACTTGCAGCTTGAGTTCCTGCAGGACATTGGAGGTTGAAAAAACCATCATAAACAGGGGGAACAACAGATACCTTGCACAGGTGTCAGCCCTGGTATGGGACCAGACTTTCCATGAATGGAACCCAATGAGGGCAATGGCAGCAGATGACTGGAGTGTCCACTCATGGCACTTGTAGCTTGAATTCCTGTAAGACATTAGAGGTCAACAAAAGTGACACAAACAGTAGCAACAGATACCTTGCACAGCTGTTGGCCCTGGTACAAGGCAAGACTGACCACAAACAGAACTCTGTGATGGCAATGGCAGTGGATGACTGGAGTGTCCACTCACAGAACTTGCAGCTTGAGTTCCTGTAGGTTGTTAGAGGTCAAAAAAAAATTGTCATAAACAGGGGGAACAGATACCTTGCACAGGTGTTGGCCCTGGTATGGGACCAGACTGACCATGAATGGAACTCTGCGAGGGCATTGGTGGTGGATGACTGGAGTGTCCACTCATGGAACTTGTAGCTTGAATTCCTATAAGATGTTAGAGGTCAATAAAAAGTGACATAAACAGTAGATGCAGATACTTTGCACAGGTGTTGGCCCTGGTATGGGACCAGACTTTCCATGAATGGAACTCTGCAAAGGAAACAGTGGTGAGTGACTGGAGTGTCCACTCATGGAACTAGTAGTTTAAATTCCTGGGAGACATTAAAGGTCAACAAAAGTGACATAAACAGTAGGTGCAGATACCTTGCACAGGTGTCAGCCCTGGTACAGGACCAGACTTTCCTTGAACAGAGCTCAATGAGGGCAATGGGGGTGGGTGAGTCCTCACAGAACTTCCAGCTTGAATTCCTGGGAGATGTTAAAGGTCAACACATAAACAGTAGGTGCAGATACCTTGCACAGGTGTCAGCCCTGGTACAGGGCCAGACTGACCATGAACAGAATGCTGTGAGGGGCAATAGGGGTGGGTGACTAGAGTGTGTGCTCATGGAACTTGTGGCTTGAATTCCTGTGAGACATTAGATGTCAACAAAAGTGATATAAACAGCAGATGCAGATACCTTGCACAGGTGGTATGGGACCAGACTTTCCACAAACAGAACTCTGCGAGGGAAATGGTGGCAAGTGACTGGAGTGTCTGCTCATGGAATGTGCAGGTTCCCATAATTCCTTGTTGTGATTCCACATCCATACTTGCACTGCAGACTCACCCCATAGATGGAGGTAGAGGTCAGTGTGTTCAACCTCCAGATCAGCAGGAGGGTACTGAATGGGACCAGAATGTCTGGATCAGCTTATTGCTTATTGATGACTGGGTGACATGCAGAAGGTTGGGAGAAACTCTGAAGGCAACAGGGGTTGGGAGGAAACATGAGGTGATGAGTAGGAAGAATTCTGAAAGTGTCCAAAGGTGTGGAGCAATAGGGGTTTGGTGCAGAGGCAAGTGGAATTTAGTGACAGACTCCTGTTTCAGCATCAGGGAGTATACAGCTCCCTACAATGTTCTATCCAAAGAACAACCTCTCTGAAGAAAAAGATCCAAACACTATGGAGGTGGATGGAGTAAGACTCTCCAGAGAAGAAAGAGACCAACACATCAAAGAAGGAAGATATTTCAGTTGTGGAGACAAAGGGAATCTTCCCTGAGAATGTCCAGACAAAGGGAAGACTCCCCAAAAGAAAGTCAACAAGATCAGAAAGATTGTAGAAGTTGAAGAAAGTGATGATGAAGAAACAGTCATGGGTCCCTCTATTGCTCTAGTAAACATTGCTAGAGCCTTGGGAAAGGATTTTTAGAAGGGAACTCTGCATTGATGCCAGATGTTCCCAGTAAAAAGGACAGTTCTATTTCTGTTGCCCCTGTACTAGTATCTTCCACTCTAGATCATACTATGCAAATCCCCATTGCCCTCTATGCATCAGAAAAAACTGAGAAAGTCATCAACACCACTGCACTGGTTGATTCTGGTGCAGAAATATCATGTATTGATTGGGATTTTGTGCAAAAGCACTGAATCCCCACTCAGCAGCTCACCAAACCCATCCTTGCCAAAAACACAGATGGATCCCAGAACTCCAAGGGAAAGATTCTGTTTTCTGCTGCCCTCTGCTTCAAGGTCAAAGGACTTGTTCACCAGTCCTTTTTCCACATCATCAATTGTGGATTGGAAAATGTCATTCTTGGTCTCCCTTGGTTACAAGAGAACAATCCTATTGTTGACTGGAGAATGGGAACCCTCTCCATTGATAAAAAGACCAACCAGTTGAAAGAACTCTATCACAACATCTCCTCTGTTGCCATTGAAGAACCAACTGTGAACCTTGTATCCCCTGTTGAGAAGAAAGGGATTAACAAGTTCATGGACTATGGAGAACCAGAAGACAAAATCATATGTGCCCACTTTGTGATGTCACTTGGAAAACTTGTTGAAGAAGCAGAGAAGGTTAATCCCAAGACACAGCAAGCATTTTACAATTGTCTTTGCACAAACATGCAAGCAAATTCTTTTAAAAGATACTCTATTTTCTCACATTCCCTCTGCTTGAACAAGTGGAAATAATCTTATGTATTGAACAGCTTTTCTGACAGAAAACATGGCACAGTAGATTTCCAATGTTTTTCTGGTGAAAAACAATTACTATGACCCACCACCAAAAACCAAAAGCAATCATCAAAAAAAATATTAGTACTGTTTTCTGCATGTTATGTAATTGATTAATCAAATGTTGTAACATGAAATAATTTAAACACACTAGTCATTAGAGAATGTGTGATGTTCACAGAATGTCACAAGTAAATGATAAATGTTTTGTATGTGATAATACTAATAAACTTTAACCAAGTCTTTCAATGTTGACCCACAAAACATCAGATTATTGGCTCAATGTTTACTTCATAAACATGACATTTAAAACAATATTTGTTATGTGCAAAAACATGCTACTGAGATTCCATATTAACATGCTAAATATTTTCAATCAAATCACACCAATTTGTCTCCAAGAGAACATGATAAATAAAGAGTGCATTAAAGTGTCCTGTTGTACCACAGAACATGATAAGTGGCATCCGCAACCATCAATGCTATCACTGCTTGTCCTTGCTCAACCACCCCATCACATGCTGTCACATGATCTTATCTCATGGAATAAACCTCAGTCAGTCATGATATGTGCCACCTGACTTTTTATACTTGAGTATTCTGTGTCCTTTGTTGTTTTTTCTTGCAACAACACATTGATGACACACATTATAATGTTCTGTGGTAGAACAGGATAGTCCAAAATCCATGGTTGCCCTGACTGACTAGAGAAAGAGTAGCCTCTGATAGCACCCACACTACTCATGAATGTCCCCAGTCCACTTTTGAAAGTGAAAGAGTACAAGGCAGTTCATGCAAGAAATGGGGAGTTCTGCACTGTATTTGCAGTAGGCAGCAGTCTCAGCTCAGAACATTCACAACACCTCTACATATAACATGCTTACTTCACAGTTTATAATGCTCCATGGTGGAACAGGATATTGATATTTTATTACACTATTTATTTATCATGTTCTGTGGTACAGCTGTGGACAGACAAACACAATGATTTTGATTCTGGATTCCCATGACTTTTGGGGGGAAAACTAACACTTGATTCAGATGCTACAGGTGAAAATACATCAAAAAACAGTGGTCCAAAGTTTTTCCCATAACTTTTTAGGGTGGCCAAAATTTTGGTTAGACTGAATGTGGTACTTAGGGTGTGGTAACATGTTATTGACCCTATATAAGGTAGGATTAAGAACCACTTCAATGAACATCATGGCTTTCTGTGAGAGCTGATGGACATCAGGACCCTTCTTGTAACCCTTGGGGCATCTGAGTGACTGTTTTCATTGGGCAGCACACTTTGCTTCTCTCAGAGGTAACTAAGTCTCACCAAGAGGATCATCACCAGCAATAATGGCAAGGTTGACCAACTGAGCACAGAGATCAGCCTCACCAACACCCATGACTTGGAATGTGGCATGATCATCTTCAAGCTCACCCTCTGACTCACTCTCACTGGCTGTAAACTTCAAACTGTCAAGTACATTGATGCATTTCCACTCCAGTTCTCCATCTTCTGCCTCAGGGCTGGGAGCATGAGATCATGTCCTCATGCATTTGCTTGTGTGCTGATCCTTGTCAGATTTGGGTGTATCAGGGAATGATACATTGCCTGTTTCAACAACAGCTGAGCTCTGGTTATGCAGACCAGCCATGTTGCATGTTACAGTGGGTTTTCAAGGGCATTCCTGTGTCTGTTATGTTTCACCCCTGTCTTTTCCCTTTTCTCTTCACACTTACCTTGTGTTTGATCCAATGGACTACTTTTCCTTTTTGAGCTGTCTTCTCCATGATCCAACAGCTCTCTGTTTCCACCATTAGTGATATTGACTTGTTACATGCTTAGGACATGTGCCATTGTTGTTCAACCAATGGTGTAGTTACCTTGATACATGCAGATGCCTCATGGTCCATTTCTTGTACAGTATTTAATCTGTTGGCTCAAGTCTGGTAGACCCAGACTTGAGCTGCTCAATCATACACAGCATTCTCTCAGAACTTTGCCCTCAGTGTCCCTAACCCAGACCACTCTTACTGGCATTGCCTAAATCCTCTGTTGTTTACAGAGGTTACTGCAGCTATTGCTCAGTAGAAACCAATAGACTGTGGCTGAGCTCTCCCTATGTCTTGACCTTGGTCAAGCATAACAAAAGCTCAAGTCTCCCAGCCTTTGGCCAAATTGGTCACTGTTTAGTGCACCACCACAAACCCCCAAAACAATCAACATTGGGCATCATTGTGACCCACTCATGAAGAATCATCATCTGATGAAGAACAGGAGAGCACTGTCACTGACATCTCCTCCAACAAACCTGAACAACCAGATAGAGGATTTACTTCTGGCATCCTCTCAAACCTCTTTACCCATTCCCTTGCCATGCTCAGTACTCCCATTCCACCAGTACCCACCAGTACCCTTCCCACACCCCCACCTCTACAACAGACTATGATGTCCAGTTCATCATCAAAAGCAACAGTCAGTGCTGTTGCCACCAAAGCTACCAAATTGAAGATTGGCACCCCATCTGATTTTGATGGTGACCAAAAGAACACCATGAGTTGGCTGTACCCTGTACAGACTTATCTCCTGGTGAATGAAGAAATTTATGACAACAACACCAAAAAGGTGGTCTATGCCTTGTTGTATATGAAGAAAGGTGTTGCTCACTCCTGGGCAGCTACCTTCCAGAAGACTTCTCTGGAAAAGAACCCCCTGAGTTTCAGCACTTTTGCTGATTTTATGAAAGACTTCAAAAGTTCTTTCACAACCTCTGACACCACTGGTGCAGCAATAACCAAGCTATACATCATGAAACAAAAAGAAACAGTGGAACAGTACATCACTGATTTCCAAACTGCTGCTGCTGACTCAACCATCATGGAAGACATCACATTGATCAAGTTCTTCTTGCAGGGACTCAAACCCTTCATTGCAAACTGAATCCATATGATGGAAACCACTCCCACCAAGATTACTGAGTGGTACACACAAGCCCAGAAGTTTGATGCAAAGTGGAGGAAGGTGAATGAACTTTCTGGAAAGAAAGAAAAGAGGACATTCTATCCCAAGAACAACCTCATCGAAGAAAATGATCCTAATGCCATGGACATGGATGGAGTGAGACTCTCCAAAGAAGAAAGAGACTGCCATATCAAAGAAGGAAGATGTTTCAGTTGTGGCAACAATGGACACCTCTCTCAAGAATGTCCCAACAAGGGGAAAACTCCCCAAAAGAAAGTAAAGAAAATCTGCAAAGTTGTGGAGAGCAAAGAAAGCAATGATGAAGAAAAGGTTGCTGGTCCATCCATTGCTCTTGTGAACATTGCCAGAGCACTTGGGAAGGATTTTTAGAAAGGAACTCTGTGTTGATGCCAGATGTTCCTAAAATTAAGGA